ATTACGCGTTCGGCGACCAAAAATTTCTGAAAAGCCGGAAGAAGCGCAGCTACTAAGGTGATGCGATTTTGTATGCCACATACCAGGCACCCCATGCTTATAACACCAACTTCAGTTCTAGTTTCGGTTGAACGATGAGCAAAGACATTGGGGTCCTTAAAGTCACCTCCTCTTCCTTTTGTCCCCCAGCCCGCCCACACGAACCACTGACGCTCGCAAAAATGGCTCCACCTTGCCGGTGATTTCTTTGGTCAGCAAAACAAAATACATTCATTTTGGGTGTACAGTTGCGCTCCCCCTCCCCTCCTTGACAAGAAACGCTTGAAGCCGTGTATAATCATCTCTGCCGAACTGTTCGATCTCGATCAAATCTATCCTCGTGCCATGAGCGACAGGATTTTGTTCCTCCTCATTAAACGCTTCCATCTTAATGCATTTTGTGGCGAGGTATTCTCGGCGAATTCAACACAGACTCCTCCCTATGAATTTATTTTACTGTTCGTGCGTCTTCATAGTCGCGGTATCTTGACGACGCCAAGAAGCAGGCGTCCAATACCACAGTCGTAATTATGACAAGCTTGGGCTGACCACAGTAGATTTGCTATCTCATGAGACGTCGACCGAAATTCTGAAATTTGTTGTTGTTTTCAAAAGATGACTTGTGTACTGTAGCAAAATGAACTCGCTTGCAGTATAACCCCAAGATATTTCAGTCACATAAAGATGCCAGCTTTTTAATGAGCTTCGCTTCGGCCCCCTGGAAAATCGCACACCGTCAAAATTGATTGATTATGTACTATGAGGTTTCCTCATTGATTTTAAAATAAAAATTACAGAAAACATAATCGAAATAATGCTTCCTTGTAATCATTGGATAAAGATAGCGTATTTTTCTAAGTTGTCACTGGAGGAAATTTTAAGAGCGTGAAGTGCCCATTCATAAAGCTTCGTATCTGTCCATTTATTAATATTGCTCATCAAATGTGCAACATGATTTTCAACTGCTACAAATGGTTGTGAGCACTAAGTGACATCCACCTTATAGCCTAGAGAGCCGTGTGATTTTTCTTGGACGGGGTGCATTAAGCACGCAGTTTGGTAAATGAATGCAAGCGTAATGGCAGGTCGAGTTCTAAATTATTCGGGAATTGAACAAGTTTTAAACCCGAAGGATATAGGTATAGAACTTCAAGAAGAGTTAATTTGCCCCTAAATTCATACAAGAAATACTTTTTTCCACATACTTCATATTACCTATATCTTAATTTATAGTGAAATCTAAATTCAGTTAGAAAATCCATATAGCTGATACAGTATTTTTTTAAAAAACGTCGTTTATCCAGAGGGGCTGGAAAGAAGACCGTCCGAAAGCTGGCAACCTGACGTGACTGAAGAGTTTCTTGGACTTATACAGCAATATAGGTGATTTTACAATTCTACATAAGTATTCCTTTCGAGACGAAAATACAATTCAATTGACCCAATTGTGAAAAATTCGTTGCCTCGGTGGGATTCGAACCCACGTAAGCAGGGAAGGCTTTCACTCTACCAATTGAGCTACGAAGACACTCCAGCAGCCGTGAATTTAATCGGACTTGGGTCGATTTACCCACCAAGCCTACAGCACGTATGGAATCCACCAATACGGATACAGTAAGCTGACAACTCGGACAGGATTTCCTAAGCAATCACGAACACAAGCAATCGCAAGCAAACATAATTCAGAAATCCCGTTAACATTTCATGAAATAGTGAATCTACTGTACTTATCCATTCAGAATGTCTTGCAGTGCTGAATAAAACCATTATCAAAGCAATTACCAATCGAATAATTAGTAGGCAGAAGAAGTGTCTTCGCGCTTATTTTGCCCAAAAGGTTAACTCTGCGGTTTCCCCTCGACCCACCAGATACAGTCAACCACTTCGCAAACTACTTCGATAAATAGACCGCAGTAGCGAATAAGTTAATAAAAATAGCAATTTCCTGTGGCATCCAATTTTTGTGTACGGTGCGCTAAACACACCTGATCATCGCCTCTGTCATCCTAGCGGGTGTGGCAGCCAGCCAATGCCCCGAGTGTATGCAAAAAGGTCTCTGGGACAGAGGGAATGCCATCGTGCCTCAGATTCGGCCTCGAACGGTGGCTGGAGGAGACGGCATTAGC